CCACTCTCAGCACTGATCCTGAAGGGATCATCTACCCTGGATTCCCTGTGTTTCCAATTCCTATCTGTACCAGTATACATCCTCTGGTCTAGCCAGATTTGTAAGGTAGACTTGGGATCATGATAGTGGTGGGGAGCTCCCGTAGCATTTAGGAACGAGAGGAAAGTTGTATGTTTCATCGTTGCTACACTAAACCCTGACTGGCTCGTCTCCTCCCCTCGACCCTTGTGTAAGGGGATGTCCAGTTGCCTACAGATGTGTCTTGGGTCCCCAATCTGCACTCTCCCTCAATCACAATGATATGATTTTTTGTTCTTTTATGGCTGATACCTGATACCTTCTACACCTCATGACCACACAGGCTGATGTGCTTCTTCCAAGTGGGCTTTTTTGCTTCTGAGCTACATGGCTGCTTGTTTTTCTTCAAGCCTTTAAGACCCTAGACGCTCTATCTTTTGATAGCTGGGCACCATCAGCTTTCTCTACTACATTGGCTTATGTACCCGCGTTGTCTTCAGTGATTATGTTGGGAAGGTGAGCATCATGGAATTCCAGGTTAATAGAACAAAGTGTTCTTGCATTGTGGGAGTGCTTGAGTGGAGGTCCAATACTACCTTTAGTATTACTACCTTAATACTAAACCTATAACTATATGCACATAGATGTATTTCCCCATTATCATTTATAAATATATTTACAGATATACAAAGAGCATCTATAAATTCCCTTTACCTCCTAGTTCTTCCCTCTGTTTCCTTTTACTATCTTCTTATCCCACTATTATGCTTAGCCTTCATTTGGATTTCAGTAATTCTCTCAGAATTACATTACCTTTGATCAAGCCCTACCAGGCATCCTACACCCTCCTCACCATCAATTTGGATCACTTGTTCCCTTGTCCCTGAGTTAATACACATACACACCCTCAAAAGTGTCTTTTAAGCTAAATTTACTTATAAATTAGAGCATGACTTGCTAAGAAAAACCGTGCTGGGACCCTGTCTGATCTCCTTTGACTACACAAAGGAGAAGCAGAATCCATCTCACACCAGCCCAAGGGCTGTTGACACAAGGCAACAGTCCGACATCCACCTTCCATCCTTCTGTACGTATTCTGACACTAGCCATTCCTCCCACGGTATTCGCCTTTCCTGCTAGGTTTGATAATTCATTGCAATGGCCATACAGAACTCACAATTGTTAAATGCCATCAAGTCGGTTCTGATTCACAATACAATAAAACAGCTCCCTGTCCTGTACCATCCTCACAAGTATTGTTTGAGCCTGTTTTTTTCAGCCACTCTGTCAATTCATCTTGTCATGGGCCTTCCTTTTTTTTTGCTGCCCCTCTACCAAGCATGATAGCGTCCTCTACGGACTGGTCTCTCCTGATAACATGTCCAGAGTACATGAGACTAAGTCTTGCCATCCTTGCCTCTTATTTCTTCCAAGACAGATTTCTGGTTCGTTTGATAGTCTATGTACTTCAAATTTTCTTCACCACACCATAATTCAAATTCATTGATTCTTCTTCAGTCTTCCTTATTCAATGTCCAACTTTCACATGCCTATGAGAATTCACAATGGAAATTTTTTAGGGATGTTAGCAAGTCAGGATCATAAAACATTAAGGATAAAGTCTTTGATCCACAGCAGGACCTCTCCTCAGCCAGCAGCCATCTTTCTCTCTCTGCTTTGCCCTGTAGGATCACTCTGAGTCAGAACTGACTCGATAGGCAGTGGATTTTGTTGTTTTTAGAGAGGAGTGAGTGGGTAAATGTTCAGCCACTGATTTCCAAGCTCTTAATAAGCACCTGTCAAGCATAATTCCCCAAAGGTGTCCTAGTTCATTACAGAGAGAAAAGAAAAATAATGCTACTTCATTTTGGCTCATCTCAAAAGCTTTTCTCCCAACTGCATAGATTTTTAATAGAGTTAGTGTTTTATATTTGTAGCCTCCCCCCCCTTTAAAAACAAATTATGTGTTAATTTGTAGAAGAGTGTATTACTGACTGAGATCACAGCGTATCACTACAATGTCACCACATAATCTGGCACAACTGCTATTTGCTATGACTCCAACAGGTCCTAGGATACAAGATGCACCCCAATTTCAGAGATGTTAAAGTGTGAAAAAAAATGTGCCTTTGAATTGCATATGATTGGCTAATTGGTTTCAGTTTATCATTCCATCATTTTCCCATTGATTGATTGATTCTTTCATTTGTAGAGTCATACTATAAATGTTTTGTGTGTATATTTAATGTAAGTTTCTGTTTGAAATTATATAGCCAAAAAAAGTGTTTTTGTTTAAACATATTTCAAAGGGTTGTAAGTAGTTTCTTAATTAGGAGACTTGTTCAAGTTGAATCTCTAAATTCACATCTTTGTTTCTCAGTTTATCCATGACTCAAGTGGTTCTGCTAAGGATATCTGAATTCTGCTTTTGAATCCCCTCCTGTTAGCAGAAAAGAATCCCTGAATGAGAGAAACTTCTGGAACCACAAGGACCTCCTTTTGCTGCAGAACTAGTTTCTGTACTCAGTAGGTTGTAGAAGCCAAGTCAGGGACTCTTTTTTCCACTGCTTCCTCTCTTTGGTTGGCTAGGTGATGAACTGTCATTGCTTATATTTTATTTTACTTCGATTAGTGACCCTGGTGCTCAGTTGTTCCTTGGACGCTGACTATTTCCCCTTTGCAGTTCACTGAACATAGCCACAATGTATCACTTGAAAACAGAAGCAGTGAATTGATGAAGCAATGTATTGAATTTCTCTCCCCTCTCCAGATTCTGGAAGAAGCCACTGAAGAGGAAACAGCACTTCATAATCGAATTATGCCCACTGTGGTTCGTCCTCCCAAACAACTGCTTCCTGAATCCGCACCTGCAGCTGACCAAGATATGGTATGAAGTCATGGATAATGCTGTTGATCTTCCCACCGGAGTGTCATTTTATAATATTTCCAGAATAGGAAGTCACATGTCCCTTTAAAAAATTTATTCAGATATGACTATTTCAACTGCATTTATCAGAAACTACACTTCTAGTGTGGTATTGGTATTCTTTGTAAAACAATCAGATTTTATTCTCATTCCATCACTGTTTCTTTCTTTGTTACTGACCAGCTTCATGCCTTATGATTTATAGACAGGACTACTCTTTTAAATTGCTTTTGCATATTCACAATTTAATAAAAACAGTATATGTAGGCATTTATTTTTAGTTGAATTCTTTTATATGTTTTTCTTTAATATTTTACCAGGTAGTTGGAAAATATTCAAGAACATACTTTTTCAGAAAGGGAGATAGTAGAGAGGGAATCTTGAATCTTGTTTTTGAAACAACCCAGTATCCTTGCTGCCCGCCAGATCATGTTTTGTGAATGTTTATTCATAAACTTTTTCTTTTAACTCAAGTATATATAACAAACTTAGTTTGTGCTGTTTATTCTTTTGTTTTTAGGAGCTGTTTGAACTTCCAGTAAGTGAAGAATATTTCCCTCTTCTCTAAGTATGTATTCTTTTATTCCTAAGGAATAATAAACACTGTGCATCTTTTGAAATTATTTAGGCCATTTATGAGATAGGAATTGTTCGCCAGTTCCCGTTTTCTTCTGCTTTGCAACGCATGAGTGTGGTTGCAAGGCTGCTGGGGGATAAGAAGATGGACGCCTACATGAAAGGAGCACCTGAGGTCATTGCCAGTCTCTGTAAACCTGAGACAGGTCAGGAGACACTGAGATGGGGAATAAAATTGTGACACGGGCTAAGTATTCATTGTCAATTCTAACGACCAACTATCTTCTTTCCTTTTAAAAAGTTCCTGTTGATTTTGAAAAAGTGTTAGAAGATTACACCAAACAGGGCTTCCGTGTGATTGCTCTCGCTCACCGAAAATTGGAGTCAAAGTTGACATGGCATAAAGTACAGAACGTTAGCAGGTAAGGTTGATGAGCAGGTTTTACACGATCTTTCATTATTGTTTTATTTTTGTTTTACACATTAAGGATGCACAGTGATTTAATAGATATTTATTGAATGCATGCAAGTATACTTAATGCTTTAGGTAGCAGCTAAAATGCATTTTCCATTTTCAAATTTCCTTTCATTCTATATTGACTGTTTGTGTTTGCTTACACTAATGTAACATTGTGTTTTCTCCCAGTAACTCTTTGTAACTAGTTTCAATTTATTTATTGAATATTGCTGTGTACTGTGGCCAGGCATATTCTGAGAACTGTAAACATAATTCTTCAGAAGGTCTCATAATTCTCCAGAGGGTCTACTTGCATTTAGCCCATTGGCTGGAAGTACTGATCTGGTCAGAGTGTCTTGAGTTACTTTACCTCTCACGCTGTCTCCAGTTCAGCTCTTCTCTACTCCCCACAAGTCAAGTGGAGTTACCAGGGTCACACACTTCTGAAAAGATTGTCACTTTTATTGTAACTGATAGACCTTTGAAAATAGCATTTTTGTTTAGGAATGTTTCATGGCGAATAAATAAATTTTGTAAGCATTCAGAAATAATATTGCTGTCCTGTTAATTCAGCTGAGAATTTTCTTGTATTCCACTCCTGCTACCATTGTCTCTAAAATTCAACTTTCTCCAGTCTTGCCTATTTTAAAATCTAGGCTCCACAATGCCTCCAGAGAGCATTTTGAGGTTCATATCTGATATCAGAGTCCTAAACAGAATTCTTTGCTTAAACTTTTTATTGTGAGCTGGGTGAAGATTTACAAAGCAGATCAACTTTTCCTTCAAGAGTTCTTAAACATTTTGTTTCATGTCATTGATCACAATTCCCACAATGTACCATCCCCTCCTGTGCTCCCTGTAACTGTTCCTCTTTCTTTCCTAACCCTCTGAACTTTGTCATTGGGTCAATGTTGATTATCCTAAAATGTGCTACCTCCCTAGTGTTACTGTGCCTTCCATAAACCTGTTTATTGTGTGACTGAATAGTGAGCCATGAGGGTTAGTTCAATTTCAGACCAAAAGGGTGACTCAGGGCCGTAGTGTCAGCGGTTCCACTGCTCACTCTTGTCTGACCAGCCACCTAGTCTTTTTTGCACCTTTAGATTTTGTTCCAAAGATTTCTCCCACTCTGTCCAAGACCTAATGTGACACCTTTCTGAGAAGTTGATAGTGGTAGTCAGGTACCATCTAGTTCTTCTGGTCTCGGGGTCTTGGAGACTTAAGTTCAGATGGTCTATTAATTCATTGGCTTAGTTAGTTCCATGTGTTTTTTATTTTCCTCATACTCCTTTCTTCTGGATAGTTGCCACTAATCACCACCACCCCACCACCACCCCCGCATGCGCAGATAGCTACTCACAAGCTTTTAAGATCCCAGTTGATACTCGCCAAAGTAGGCAATCAGTCAACATTATCTATGTGGACTATGCAATGTCCGCTGATCTTGCTGTCTTCTGAGACTGAGATCCTGAGTCCTAGCTCAGCAGCTCATTTCTTCAAGTTGTTTGGTTGTATCTAAGAAGTTTTCATAACTTTACCCCTATATGCTCCACCACATTCATGGATATATCTGAAGCAAAGGTAAATAAATGCCCATGTACAAATAACCCTCTGTCAAGTGTATACATTTGTGGGTATTCTCCCACACCGTTAAAGCCTGTGTGTCTAACCAAGTATCTATCCGTAGATCACCACTGTTACAAGATTTGTCTATTACAATATTTGCCTTTGTTGCCTTTAACTCTTGCAAACCTTCCAGTGTCTTCTCCTGCCTCCCTTGTGTTTTACCTACTCCCTCTTATTGTTTACTGCCTTCTCTTCCCTTCACCCAAGTCAGCATGTGTCTACCCTCTAGCCAGCAGTTTACTCTTGTCTTTTCCCATCCTTGGTAACCATTGAAGAATGTTTCTTTTTCGCGTAGTGGTCTCATATAGTATTTGTCCTTTTGTCAATGACTGATGCCACTCAGCATAAGACCCTCCAAGTTCATTTATGTTATGAGTGTTTCGTGTGGTTATTCTTGAATGTTGTCTAGTATTCCATCCAGTGTATGTACCATAGTTTATCAGTTCTTCCATTGATAGGCATGAACATAGGTATGTTTATTTGTGTTGTATCTCTTCTATGATATATACTGAGTAGGGGGATTGCTGGTTGGATCATATGGTGTTTATACAGTCCCACCAGCATTGTATGAGGGTTCCAGTCTTCTCTGCACCCACACCAGCATTTGTTGGTTTTTTTTGGTTTTTGTTCTTTGCTATTAATGTTGCGGTGAGATGATAACCTTGCTGTTGTGGTGTTGGTTAGCACCCTAGTGTAGCCCCCTTCACCACTGGGACTCCTGTCATTGTTGCTCTGATTTGCATCTCCCATATGAACAGCTCATGATCATGCAAGCACGTCATATATTTGTTGGCTGTCTCAATATCATCTTTGGTGTCTGTTCATGTCCTGTGTCCCATTTTCTTTTTTTTTTTTTTTTTTCATGTTTTCTTAGCTTTTAAAGACATGCCTTAGCTTTGCAGATGTATATCTACCATAGTGAATTGGTGTTATTGAATTTTGTGCCCC